TTCTCTTTCATTTAATGAGAAAACACCAATGTTGCAAACAACCTCACCCCGAACCCTGCACACAGCATCCCAATGGTTCACAAGGTTTTGTGCATCGTGGAGCAGAATACACACAGCTGCTCTACACGGCCCTGAAAGCAGGAAGCAAGGATTCCCACAAACCAGGTTTGAGGCTGAAAAGAACCCGGTGTGAACGCAGTGCCATCCCTCACCAAGGACTGCCAGCTTCTGCTCAGAGCTGGGCTGCCCAGGGCTGGCTGTGGTTATTTAAACCACTGCCAAACATCTCCGAGAGCTTCCACTGCTGGAAACCCAGAAATGGGCATCTCCAGGGAAGCACCCGGATCCTGGTGGCCATGCCCTGAAGCTGCTCCCTGAAGCCAAGTCCTCGAGCAGCCCCTGCCCAGCCACCAGCTGTGGGAAAACAAAAACTCCAACTGCTTCTCTGACCCACGAGGGAAAAGAAGAAGCAGAGGGAAAGCACAGCAGCAGAGCTGGGTGCACGCTTCGATGGAGAGAGGTATCAACAACTGCGGGCAGAAGGCGGTACGTGACGGAAGGCACGAGGCACAGCGCTCTGGTCTCGGGCTCCCAGGAAGTCCATTGCCACCAGGGAGCTCTGGTTGGAGTTTACTGCGTTAGGAAGTGACACAGCAGCTTTTTTTCCTCTTCAATTTACATCCAATTTCTTGTTTAGTCCCTTTCTGCTCTCCTCCCCACGCAGAGGGCTCCCACAGATGCAGTGCTGTGCGGGTGCCAGGCGGCATTGCTTCTGTTGGGAAGGAGAGCTGGGGACAAAGCATGGTGGTAAAAAAGCACAACAGGCACGTGGGGATTTCTGTCCAGCAGTTCTGAAGGAAAATGGCCAGAACAAGCAAGGAACCTTGCTCACAGTGCCTGGAGTGCCAGATGAAAAGAAATCCTTGTTTGTGCAGAAGCAGTGACGGTGGTGAGACAGTTGCAGGCATGACTTTCTACTAACAATTAACATAAACTAATTGCACTCTAAGTTTGTCATTCTCATAGGCAGCAGAGAGCTGTCAGCAGTGATCTGAAAGGGGAGCTTTATGAAAGCAGCTCTCCAATCTCTGCTCCCATTCCACTCGTGGACAGGTCAGTCCAATTTGTTTCACACTGCTGAACCCGAATGGGTCGGTGCCAGGAAGACACACAGCGCTCCAAACTCTGCAAGATCAGAGATTTTTAAGTTTCCTTAAAGCATGAGAGGGACACAAGGTAAGAAAATCCCTCTCTTCAGGGCATCTCTTCCACCTCGCTAAGAATGAGCACCCACCTCAGCTCTGTGCCCACAGCCCTGCTCCCTCCCTCAGCACCACAGTCATACCAATAACAGAACACTCCAGAGCCACGACTACCCCACTGCTGCAGAGAAATCCCAAAATACCCATTTCTGAAGAGCTGACACAGGAACAGAGCAACACGTGACACACGTGTCACTAAGCTCTATGCAATCCCTGTGTGGGATGCCATGGCGTGGCATGCTCTATTCTACCTTCACCACTCAGGGAACATGAGGGATCGTAGAGCAATTAAGCAGCATTTCATTTTGGGGCTGTTCTTTTTTTTTTTCTCCTTCAGTTTCACTTATTTTCCACTTACCTAGGTGGGCCTCTGCCCACCTAGCGAGCCTAGTGAGCAAATTCAAGCACTAATTAAGCTCCAAATTAGAGAAGTGCAGAGCTGACACCCTCAACGCTCCAGCTGGCCCAGAACAAGCATGCTTTGCACAGACAGGGAGGAAAAAGGGAAACCTGAAGGAGAAAATTCTAGGTGCACGAGCACACATAGGAAAGGGGCAGCCTGAGAGCCTTCCTCAGCTCCAGAAAGACAGATCCTGCCCTCAAAGCAAAAGTGTTTGCACACCTGAGCAAAGCGTGAGGTGCTTCCAGCAGCGCTACGCATCAATTCCCAGTTAGAATTCAAAGGAGCTGCCCTGAGAAGCAGCTGCAGAGCCATCAGCATCATGCAATGGGGGGACAATCCCCTCTTCTCAGCATTAATGCTACCAGACAGGTCACCCCCCTGCCACTCCTTCAGAACCACAGGTTTGTTTCTCCAGATGTTCAGCTCTGGCTACTTTTAAACCCCAATTTCTCCCATGGCTGCTCTACTCTGCACCTACCAGACAACTGCAGGGTGAGCTGCCCTGATCCTCACCTATGGGCTGGGGGGGGGGTCCTACAGAGCCCTTCCTGAGCAGGGGGCAGTTCTGAGGGGTAAGGGACAATTCAGAGGTAAAGGGGTGGTCTGGGAGGAGAGGGAAGTCTGGAGGGATAGGGACAGCTTGGGGACAACAGGGACAGCAAGGGGGGTGAGAGGGGGTGACCTCCTCCTCCCACCAAATGGGACTGAATCCCACCTCACCCCATAGGGTGGTGTGGAGGGAACACCCCACTCCAAAAGCAGGCTGTGCCCCACAGACCCTGCCCGCCCCCCCGCCCCCCTTTCCCTTCCCCCCACTCAGCTGGGACTCCCAGATCAGCTTAGCCCAAGCCAGGGGCACCCCCAGGGCCACCCATAGCCCACCCCACACTCCCAGAGCCTACACAACCCCCCTCCCCAAACCATATTGTGTCCCCTAGCCCTCAGCCCTTCAGCCCCCCTCCCCCCCCCCCATACCCACCGGGGACCCTTCAGAGCCTCACATCCCCCAGCCCCAGCTCAGCCCAGTCCTGGTGGTCTACGTAAGGCCCTCCCCAAACCTCAAGGGCCTACTCACAGCCATCCCATCACCTTCATATCCTAAACATGGCTCTTCCCACTTCACCTACATCCCCCCCAGGGCCTACACATGGCTCTTCCCACATCCCACCCCCTCAGAGTCCTCCATATCCCCCCTGGGGGCCTACATATGGCTCTCCCCTCACCTTCACACCCTAATCATGACTCTCCCCTCTTCCCACCTCCCCACTCCCCCCGCACCTCCCCTAGAGCCTACTCACAGTCTCCCTCCGTCACCTTCAGACCCTAAACGTGGTTCTCTCCACATCCTACTCCCCTCCATGACCCCCACAGCTCTTCCCTCACCTTCAGATTCTAAACACTCCTCACAGAGAGTTTCAGATTCTCAGCTCTCCTCACACTCCATTTTCCCCCAGAGCCCTCCTCATCCCTCCAGGGCCTACCCACAGCCTTCCCCTCAGCTTCACACCCTAAATATGGCTCTCCCCATCCTCTCCATGTCTCCCCCATCCCTATCCATGGCTCTCCCCACATCCCAGCCCTCCAATCCCTCCCCACTGCCCCTCGAACCGACCCATGGCTCTCTCACATCCTAAACACGGCCCTCCTCATCCCCTCTATGTCCCCCCCAGGGTTTACCCATGGGCTCTCCCCACATCCCAGCCCCCCCTTGATTCCTCCCCACAACCCCCCTAAAACCTATACATGGCATTCCCCTCACCTTCACAAACTAACCATGGCTCTCTCCACCCTCCCACTCCCCTCCCTATCCCCCCTACATCCTTCCATCCCTACCCATGGCTCTCCCCACATCCAAGCCCCCCAATCCCTCCCCACTGCCCC